CCCCAAAACCCCAAAACCCCAAAACCCCAAAACCCCAAAACCCCTTCAGTTTGTATTCAAATTGAGAATACTTGGCTTTTATAGTTTAAATAAACCCGAGAGTTATTCATCCATGTTGAAGGAGAGATGGCACGTTTGAGAGTTGAGTCGGAAGTTTAGCTCCATCTCTTTGTCTTTGAGCCTCTTTATTTCCTGATCTTTTTGATACAGCATAGCCTTCATCTCTTCATACTCTCTAATCATTTTTTGGTTTGCTTTGTAGAGCTAGAATTTTATAAAGGAGTCTTACCTCAAGCTTATTGAAGAGGATCCGTACTGCTTTCTTGAGTACCAAATTGTCAGAATATAGCTTCACCACTGGCTTTTTGAATTTTGCTTTAATCCTTCTTTCAGCCTCGTCTATAATAGTGATCTAAAGAATTAGGTACCTTTAACGTATTGCATCGCTTTATTGATGGTCACTAGTCCTGTATCTAAATCTTGTGTGTTTTGAAGCTCCTTGAGAAGCTCATTAGAAATTATCTGGATGTAGTCCCCAATCACTAAGGGATCAATTTCAGTGCTACCTTGGTCTTGGTTGCTTGGATTCTTTGCTTCACCTATGTTTTGGTAACTATTAGCCCACTTTGCACAAAATTGTTAGAATTAGGAATACCAATCTCACCTGTTGTATTCGTAGGATTTTGGTTGCTCTGATCATTAGAAGTTGAGTGCTTGATATCGTCATCAGTGATACTAAGATTCTCCATCGCTTGCAGAATATCAGCATCTAATTCCTGCATAGTTTGTGCCACAACTGTGTCTTCGAGTTCTTCTGACTCTTCAAACATTGCATTAGTAATATTTTTAGTGCTGTGAGATCTTGTTGAAGGCATAGCAGATCTTTCTGACGTCTTAGGGAAAATATTGGTATCATTCCCTGTTAAATTTTGGTTTTGACTTCCATAATCGTCTTCCATTATAAATTAAATTATAAATTATGTGAATTTTCGGTAAAATAATTTGATTCTCAACAATTTCTTCTAGAAATGGGGTTTTGGGGTTTTGGGGTTTTGGGGTTTTGGGGTTTTGGGGTTTTGGGG